AAAAACCTTTAAACAGCTCCCAGCTACGTACCAAGTGTCTTAGCTCGGCCCGTCCCCTTCCATCATTCACGGCCTGGACAGTCCTCATGGCACGTATCTGTTTACGTATTGGATATTACGTCATCGACTCCTAGGATAGGTCTCCTGTAGTAGTCGCTTCAACTCAGCTGGTTGTAGCGGATGTCTACGACCAGTATAGTGAGAATAGGATAATTTAGTATGATCCTGAATACCAAAACTATGACCCCGAATAACTGTTGTCACTGCATGTCTTATACATAATTAACATCCATTATAAGATACTATATATCCCATCTCCGCACACTCCAAATGTATCAAGGCATTGTGGCCGAGTGGTTAAGGCGATGCACTCGAAATGTTCGGGAAACGAATGAGATTAGACCTGGCTGTTCGGTTTTCTTAGATTTGAAGTCAGCAGCTTTCATTGACCCCACATCTGTCTCAAGCAGTCAGGTTTGGTTTTGATAAACGCAAGCCTCATAGAAATCAATTACAGCAAACTAATTGGAGTAGTTTCTGCGAATTATATTATTTTTATCAGTATCTTTGGATAACACGAAAATGCACAAATTTTGCAAGTTGGTCTTCTAGATGTTTTCATGACCTTCTTTTCTAGAATGTTTGAAGGCGAATTTTGGGGGCACTGCTCTACATGCATCCTTGATTTTCAATGAACCCGTCTCTATAAGTGCGAAGGTCAATAAGATGGTACCTCATTCAAGGCCTACTACACAAGTTGCTTTTTTCTCTCTTAGTAGAAGATTTATCTCATGGCATACAAAGGTGGAGTTGCCTTGTCCGAAATTCGAGGAGATGCCTGAAGGGTTTCACCCAGGTAGAGCCGGTGGTTGGATTGAGATATGGTCTGATATATTAGGTACATCGTGTAATCACCCCCTGCCAAAAATGCCAAAGAACCCGCCTTTCTTCTTGTCGCCCACGTCGCCTGCAGTGTCCGCTAATCCGCTGGAGGACTTGCTCGCGGTCTTCTCTCCTTCGGCGCTGTAGCCAATGTAGTTGAAGGCCACGTCGAACAACACGGGCTTGCTCAAAACAGGAGCAATGAAGCCCTTTTCGGTGATGTGTGTGACGTGGTTCAAGCTCTCCACGGACGCAGGGAACTTGTACACGTCTTCGGCCACGGCGGGCGGCACCACGCCTTCAACCTCACGCTGCAACTGGGCTAGGGTATGATATTGGGCCGTCCGAGTAGCGACGTGTGCTCGGAAGTGTGCCACCTGCTCGTTGCTGGAAACATCATAGGGGAAGGCGTCCACTTTGTAATACAGCGGGGCGCCGGAAAACGTGCGCTGGATGTGGAGGTAGATGGCCAAGGCCTCGGCAAGCTTGCGGGCCGCCGCGTAGGAGTCGGCAACGACCGCCGAGCGCGTGACTGTGAAGAGTCTCGACAAGCCCTCCAAAGACTCGTACAAGTCGTCGTCGTTGTAGACACCAGGCAAATCCTTGAGCTCTTCCGTGGTGCGCACCAAGGACGCGTACAAGCGCACCACGTCCTTGTTGGTGGAGAGCACTCGGGTGGTGCTGGGCGAGGGCTGCGCGTGCAACTGCTCTATGAGCAATAGATCGCGCTTCACTTTCACGAACAACATGTGGTACTTCAAGTACGTCAAGAGCACGGCGTTGTGCTGGGTCCTGTCCATGTCGTCGTCGTCGGAGCTTTTCTCCACGTCGCCCTGGTGGATGTCCACCAAGTCGGCCCACCTCGAGAAAAGCGAGTCGTAGTCGTTGGCGTCGCGGTACAGTCTCCAGTCCTCGCCGGCGACTTTGCTGAGTTTCACCGCCACCTCGTCGTTGTAGATGGCGGCCGAGTGGGCGCGCCAGGCGACGCTTTTCGGCACGGTCTCCTCCGCTAGCTCCTCCACAAACGCCGGGTCGAACGCGGCCACGAGATCTACAAGGGGCGCCAAATACGGCACGTTGCCGCCGCGGCAGTGTTTGCGCGCCACGGTGCGCAAGTCGGCCGCCGTTTTGTGACTGGACGCGTCTTGCAGATGCGCCAACGACAACGCCGGGTCCACCACGGTGTCGAGCGTTTCGTCAAGAAACGCCTTTCCCCACAGCGCGTCGTCGGCGCTGGATGCGCCGTTTTGGCCCGCGCAAACGGCCAAGTACTCCAATCCGATTCTCGCGAGCGACAACGCGTACCGTGCGTCGGCCCACAGCTTCTTGTTGACGGAGTACTGGCCCTGCAAAAGCGCCGCAAACACGTAGTACTCCAACTTCCTGGTCGCGTCCGGCTCGCACGCCACCGCGCCCACGAGCCGGCGCGCGGACTTGGCCGCCAGCTTCAATTTGCCCACCATGAGCTTTTTGTATCCGGGGATCTGCAGGCCCTTGATCTCGAGCATGCTTTTGATCTCCAACGAGTGCACCAAGCTGCGCTCCGCGAGCAAGAGAAGCACCTGGCCGTACTTCCCGTTTTGCTGGTACTGCTCTGCGCCGATGGCCGAGGTGCGCTCCTTGTCGCGGTAGTTTCTGGTGTCTCTGGTGACGATGTTCAAGTCGTGGCGCAACCGCACCAACTCCCGGCTGAGCTTTTGCCTGTACTTGCGGAAATCCTGCGGCGACGTGAGATACGCCTGGAGGCGCCTGCCAAAAGTGTCGGCCAAGGGGCCGGAGGACGACATTGTGGGTGTGCAGTTGTTCGTTGTATGGGGTTAGTAGTGGTGGTGGGGGCGAGTTGAATGGACGGTTTTTCAAACGCCGTGGTGCACGGGTGTGGCACGGGTGCCGTGGGCTATGGATGAGAGGCTGGTGATGGCATATTGTAGTGAAGGCCTGGCGGGCTGGAGGGGCGTGGTCGAGACGGTAGGCTTTTGAGACTTGAAAGTTTTGCCGGCCAAAGAAAAGAAACTCGATCAAAAAGTCGTGTGCGTGGCTTGTCTCCATGCCTCTTATTGGAGCCTCTGAGGCCTCACTGCACTTGACGGCTATTCTGGAAGGGCAGGGAATTTGCGACGAAACATCGCTGCAGCAAAGTTGGAGCAATAAAGATTTGGTTTTTTGGTGTGTTTCTGGTATGACAAGAGGAGTGGTGGCATTGGAAGATGTGGTTGCGGATGTCAGCATCTGAGGGCAGGGCCGATTTTGCAGCTGCAAACGAATCAAGTGGCCAGACAAAATGCTTAGGTGGTTTTGTGGGGGCTTGCAGATCTGAGGGGATTTATCTGGCTGTCTAGAAGGAAATTGAGTTGAGAGTATCAGAGGGCCTTGGGGGCAGATTCTGTGCAATTTACTATGAGGGTATGCGCAACTCCAAATATGGCCGTGTCGCAGATCGGTGAACTCACCTGCTTCTTTAATGTCAAAAAGAGGCAAATGTTATGTTAATGGTATATGGGGCCACTTATATATCGGGGCAAGATAAAAGAAAGAAAGGTGGAAACCTGATTATGCATATATAATAGGAGGTTGAAAATATGGAAGGAAGTATAGATTAATGTCTTTAAGCAGTGAGATTAAAAAAAGACCAAGTAAACACCAAAGCTGAAAAATTTTAGACTGTATATGGAATAAAAATTTGATTATTTGATTTCGAATATTGCATAAGCCATGAAAAAAGGAAATACTTCAATACTAGTGCCACGTCCTTATATGTGCTGATGAAGACTTATATATCTTCGTACGAGCAAGCCATCATGTCCAAGCACTCTGCAAAAGCCATAAGACTTTAGTGTCTGCGTTTTGGATCATGGTCGCTGTTACTCTCTTAGTGCTCATAGGACAAACGTGTGCCAGACGCCTTCAAAAAAGTATCAATCACGACCCGTTGCAACTGGAGGTCACTAATCAAAAGTTTCTTTATTCCCTATTATTTTATTCGTGTATTGCCTTAATCACATATGCGCTTATAGGGCACTATCCTTTGATGCGTTTCTACTCAAATTTGGGGACATTGAACGAAGGAGTCAATAACGCACTGGAGGTTCTGACCTCAGATACCATAGCCCATCCTTGGCCATGTATATATAGCCCAAAAATTCCTGAATGCAGAAGTTGTGTTTGACGATGGCCCCAATTGGGTTGCATCTAGGGTGCGGAGGCCTCGTGGCTTAGCTAGCTTACGTACTTGACTTAATTATGCTAACTGGCTGTTAAAAAAGAATTCCGATACAGCCGAAGCACCATGCGGTTTGGCCTCGTCCATATTCTCGCTTTAGGAGTGGTAGGTTTTCATCTGCATATCCAATTGCGAGCGTACCCGGCGGAGCCTCCGAAAATCTCCAGGAGTTTCAAAATGTAGAATTCTGAGACTTCATACCCGAAAAAGCTCAAATGCCTTCTGGCTACAGTCAATGATGACGCTGTAGTTGCAAATTGGCAGCCCTGGCAGATTCTGCAACGGCAACCACGCAAAATGGTCAAGAAAAAATTGCTTGCGATAACAAAGGTAAACGACCGACTATGAAAAACTCATTTCATACAAAAAACTTTCAGTGGACAAAACACTCTTCAAAAGAACCAATGGCCCGTGCTCAGGTATGCGAAGAGACGGGCAAATATTTCAAATTACACAACGCCTTCCAAGATTCGAGAAATCAGAAATCCCTAACTCGCTGAAAAAAATGCAACCAAAACCGGATTGCTCTAGCCCTCTTTGATTTCAAAGTCAGCGTACCGACTATTCACCAGCACTCAGCCGCGCCTTCCAGACATGGCCCATAAATACACCATTTCCAACTCTTCAGCCAATTCCAACTCTTCAGCAATATCCACAAAAAATAGCCACGGCCCAAGCAACCCCTAGAATTCCAAGAACTTATAAATCCCAGCAGACTCCAGATTGGCATCGCCATCACGTCGGACTGCACATGGCGCCGGCACTAGTCTCGCAGCCAGGCCCCAACCTAATATACTGGGTACGCTTATTACCACTCCCTTCTTCCGCCACCCAGACGACCTGGCAAGCTAAAAGTATGAATGATGTCACGAGTGGCAGGATAGATATATATGCCGAGCTCGGCGTGGCGCCCGACGCGCTGCCGGCTGAAATATCCCGCAAATACAGGCAGATGGCCCTCCGGTATCACCCGGACAAAAACGACTCTGCGGAAGCCGCCGCCAAGTTCCAGTTTTTCTCTGCCATAAACACGGTGCTTCAAGATGCAGACCTCCGTCGGCTGTATGACGAAATTCGGCGGCAGCGCACCGCCATCAAGGCCCCGGCCAGCGAGGGCGTGCAGAGCCAAATCCTACGGTTCAAAGAGCAGCTCCGGGCACGTGAACAAGAGGCCAAATCTCAGGCAGGTGCTGGCGGCTCGCCCACACATGCCTTTAATGTAGATGTCTTAAGTATGCGGGGCTTGGCGCTCCGGCGAGAGCTCCAGGCGAAGCTCCAGGCGAAAAAAGGGTATGTCTCCTTTCGACTGCTCAAGCAGCCCCGGCATACCGCCGATTTTCTAGTCCAAGATGTGGTTTTGGACGTCACGTGGAAACACCGGTCGGAGCCCGGAGCACAGATCGATTCGGGCACGCTTCGAGAGATCATGGAGCGGTTTGGCCCGGTAAAAACATGCATTGTTGGGGAAGACGACGGCCGATATGCTCGGGGCCAGGTGGTGTTTTCAGATCCCGAAAGCACAGAAAAGGCGCTTGTTTACGATTACAGAAAGGCCTGTCTATGGGACGGCACGCCGGTGAGAAAACTCGCTAGTTTGCTCCGCAGCGTTAAGCGGGCACAGGCCGTGCAGATGGGTGAGCCTGGACGGGCGGGTTCTTCGTTTGAAAATGAGCTCGCTATCTTTTTGAAGACGGTTCGCGGCCTGCTTGCTGAAGATAATGTCTAGAGCCCGTGAACCGGCTTCTTTGGAGCATGCTGGTGGTGTATGAGTCGTTGTGGCCTCTGATACAATGGGTGTCTCATTTAAGAAGCACAAGCTTTTGGGACCGTTTGTTTGGGGCAGATTGGGAGTCTCTCGGCCGCATTCGGGTTTGGACCAAAACAGATGTGAGCTTTCTTGCAGATGTTATGTCTCCCGAATATTTCAAGGAATGCTTCTGGGTGTTTTCACAAGATGGCGCATTCAGGACGAGCATGTCAAGAGACGGCCAAAGCGGTATGTGAGCAGATGTTTGGAAAATCCAGAGAAGTATACCTTTTCTACAGGCGTGTCCGGATGGATGTACCCAGAATGGCCAGTTGTGAAACCCTTCACTACAGGTCTGTTCTGAAGGTGTGCTCAGGCTGACAAAAAAGCACCAAAAGACCGCGCTGCTGGCCGGCTCCTATTCAGAGAGAAAAGCAATTCCTTCCAAAAAAGGCCCCTTAAGCATCGCTGAAATCGTGTTATACAGTGGACGGGAAAAGGCCGAAAAGACGTGTTTTCACAAGCAATTCTCGCAAATGGTGTCCCGCGAGAGTCCTCCGAGTTCTGAAATCTCTTGATTCTGAGAAGGCACCAAAAATACACCGCCGGGCTGGTTCTGCGCACAACAAGGAACTCGATTATCGCGACAGAGAAACCACTGGCCTCAAGGCGCCGGCTCTGTTACACAACTACAAGACTGTGGGGCCGTTGGCAGGGAGTATTTCAACTATGGCAGAAGTTCTATATTGAGTGGCCCATCTCCAGCAAAGACGCCATGCCTGGTTTGCCAGAAGATCCGTTCCCCCAACCCCATTCGCCAAAAGACCCGTTCCCTACCTGGTTTCCTCATATTCCTGGTGGCTGGCAGCCCCAGAATGCCAGACAGTGGCACGTGCCTATTTCATGTAAAAGTACACACCAGCAAAAACAGCGAAAATGGCAGCGGCAATCAAAGGCACAGGCACGCTGCTGGCCTCGGTCTGCCCGCTGCTGGAAGAGGCTCCCTTGGCCGGTTTGACAGCGCCACCTTCGAGCTTTCCAATCAACAAATCCTTCAAAATTTCGTGAGCATCGTCAGAATGGCCAATGTCGTCGAATGCCTCTGTGGCGTCCTCGCCGGCGCAGTCCACAATGACCTCCTCACCGCCGGGGTGCTCGTCCAAATATTTGGTCACGTCGTATACATGGCCGTTGTATACGATCCACAAATCTTCGGCGGTGTTGTGTTCCTTCACCTGTTCCGAGGTGTATACTTTCAATTCTGTGGTGTCAGACATGTTGCGGGAAGCTTTGTTTACAGACGATGTACTAACGAAAAGACCCGTGGTGTTCAAATAGAGATAAAGAGGTCTCGAGCCACGCTTCGTTTAGGGCGCGAGAAGCTCCGTCTGTGTGCAGGCATACTGTGTGTGCCGGACCCAATGGCGGCCCTGGAAAAGGTCAGGGCCACACGCATTGGGTGCACCGATCCGCGCGCGTGGTACTACCGCTTTTGGCGAACGTACCCGACGTTTTTTTGACGAGAACTAAGCGGCTTCGGAGGACAAAATGGGCGGGATTTTGGGTCTTGCCGACTTTTGACTGGTTTCTGAAAATCTAGAGCTAGGATGTGGCGGGTAGTGTCTCCACCAGGCTCCTCAGATGCCACCAGGCTTGCGGATTAATGGGTGCAAAAATCTCACTGTGCACTTATTCTCTGGTCTGCCGCTTTTGTATTCTCATGTTGTGATCTGTTAGGGGAAGATCATGAATTTTGAAGAAGAAACGCGACGGAAATAAATCGTGTATATTCTATCGGTATTAAGCGCTAATTGTTAGGGACTTCACGGGACATAGGCGTTATGTATTACTATTTGATCACTGGTCTCTAGAACTCTACAGGAGTTCTATTCCACCTTTGTATACTTTACCCAGAGGTCACGTGGACGGAACCTTTAGAACTCGAAAGAATATTCTATGAGTTGTCTAGAATGATATCTGACGGAACTCACAGTAATGGAAGTGCATATAGCCATATATGCGCTTACAAGGACCATCAGTGTCAAGCTGATACCAGGGACCTTACACTAATCGTTTTGGAAGACCTTCGCTTTGTCGACCACTGTGCGATTTCCAGTCAACCTGCAATTGTGTCTGCATGAACTTGTCATTCTTTGCGATTGTTATCCAACGCGCTAAAAATTTTGGTTTTTAACTTTGGTAAGAATTACTTCGCGCCGTTGATACGTTCCTTTCTCAGGGCTGATGTCTCCCCGAGTCACATATCACTTCGAGGAACTCGATACTGCACTCTGGAAAACATCAAAGAACAGAATAACAAAAACACTTTGGACCGTGTTTGGCTATCTGAATACTAAAGTTTCCTCCGGCTGACCCAATGCCTGTGCATAGACTTGATACGTATAATAGTCTGACCAAAAAGTCGCAGATACAGTATTGCAAGTGATTGTAATGTTACTTCACCTGCCTTAATTCACACCAGCCAACAATAACTTTGACACCGACAACTCTACTTTGTATCCTCTTGTGGCTGAGCCGTAGGCGGATTAATATGCATAGAGCTGGTATAAATTCACAGACGAACTTTGATGGGGGAGTCTGGTTCTGTCTATGTTGTTACACGCGTATTCGATTTTAAGAATATGAAAGAGGATTAAAGTTGGAGTGTCGCAAACTTTGAGAAGCTTTTGATTATTAGTGTGAGTGGACAAAGTTTAACTTACGTTTCTTCTCATCTGGAAAATCCTTTGATATATTTATGACTATTGACTTGGCTGTCGCTGTAGTTAAATCATAAAACTTATTCCCGCACCCAAAGCTTCATATCTCAAAATCTTGTATATGATACCAGAAACGAGTTCCGAAACAGTGGAAATACTTATTCGAGTAATTCATAGCTGACTTCAAGGCTCGAACGCAATTCTCATCTGCTATGAGCCATCAGAAACATCAAATGAGAAGTACGTTCCGGGTTACCAAAAAAAAAAGCTTCAAAAAATCGACAAGATAAAACTGGGCTGTCAGTGTTCGAAAGATATGAGATGCAAACCGGCAATTTTTCTGACATCTTGAGTCAGGAAAGGTTGACATGCCGCGGTAGGTTCAGAGAATATTGAGCTCAAATTCATGGAGAATGCTTTTTGGTACATCGCATAATCACAATATTTCAATTAGTATAGTTGTTCAAAAGCTTTTGGAGAACTCATTGAAGCCCAAGGAAGTCTTTAAAATAAGCGAATTTAGAGTTGGCTTGGTTTCTCGCATGCCAATTAGATTGATTTACCGCCACTTGCGCCACAACATCAACAGATATCTATTCAAGTCTGGCCTGCGCTGCTCTTATAACCAACACATCTAATTTGTCTCGCATAGCGAAACTCTTCACTGCACGGTCTATGTCATTGTTTTTCATCATATCGTGAGTGACAATGAAAAGAGGTGTTTCTGGTCCTTTACTTTTTTCCATATCTTCCTTGACAAAAATCTCGTCTATATTTTGAAAATAGGCAATTTCCAATTTGGCATCTTCGGCGCCTCTCTTCAAATAGGCATCAAATTGTTGCATGAATTGGTCATCAAACCCAGTGGATGAGCGTATGTACACGTGGTTTATCGATCCTTTCCGTGTCAACTGGTGCATCATGTGAAGGCTTAGCAAGTCCAGACCAGTAAGTCGGTCATCATGGTCGAGAATAAGCAGAATAGAGCGCTGGCTTTTAATGGTATAGTTGCCTGAGGTCAAGAGTATACCCACATGACCCAAACAGGTGTCAATTAGCCTGTTATAGATGGCCATGGCTTCCAGTGATTCTGCATCAGACTGCGCCATGCTGGGAAACGTAATGCACGAGACCACAAGGCTTGCTGGTCCGGCCAAATGATTGTTTATGGAAGCCATGTAATTCTCCATAGGTGCGAGAAGCGACATGGTGTGCAACCTCGTTTTAAGGAGCGATCCAAATGCCTCGATAATAGCAAGAATTGCTTTTGAGTCTTCGCTGTCCTGCTCATTTGTATTTTCAGGTTCTCCTGCTGCAGAAGCCTCGAGCAAATGCGATGTACGGGATGTAAACTCCCGTAGATAAATGGCCGTGGCCTTGCGAAAACTGTTGGATTCCTGGAGATCTTTGAGAAGCATAAGTAGGTCCGAGACTCCGCTGGTTTTGTGGAGAAGAAGGTGGACAGATGGGAACGAGAACATTTCGAGCGTGTCAAGAGAAAGACATGTGGATTTTTCGGCCATGAGAGCTTGTTGCTCCTGTTTTCCTTCTGGAATGACTAGCTGCTTGGATACAGAGTGTCGATGCTGGGCTGGATACACCCAAAGCGTAAGCGGAGTGGTACAAAATGTAGTAACCAATGCCATGAGGATGAAAATAGAATACACCCTGGTGGAAATGATGCCAGCGTTCAAGCCCACATTAAGCACCACGATTTCCACGATTCCTTTACATGACATCAACACTCCCACAGCTAAAGATTCACGCCACACTAGGCCATTGAGCTTGGCCGCAACAAAACCGCCGAAAATCTTGCCGGCCATGGCCAACACAACCACCACGACCACGTACGCCCAATCTGTACCTCTGTTCAATTCACTCAAGTCAACATTCAAGCCTGCAACAGCGAAATATATGGGTATCATGACTAAGTGCACCATATCCTCTAGCTTCTCGGTGATCCGAATCCCGTAACCATTGTCCCGCGAAATCAACACACCCACCATGAAAGCTCCGAAAATCGGATGCACGCCAATAGCATCGGTGTAAAAAGCCGATATAAATACTATGGCAATAATCAATCCCATCAGAGACTGTGAGGGCTGGCCTGTGATCAAGTCGTTTGTATGGCACCGGAGATACCAGCACAATACACGTTTCACTGGGAACATCATGATCAAAAACCATGCCAGGGCCAAAAGCAAGATGTAAAGCGTGTGGATACTATTTGCAGAATTGGCAAGCGTGACCACAAGAGCCAACAATATCCAGCCGACCAAATCGTTAAAGATCCCAGCAGATAATACGATGGTGCCCACGTGATCGCCGATCAAATTCAACTCTACCAAAATACGTGCCAATACAGGAAATGCAGTGAAGCAAAGAGCAACGGCGACAAATACCATGTACGTGGTGAACAGAACCAGTGTCAGTTGTGAATCTACTTGATATTCGTTGTACAATCCCCGGGCAATGCCGCAGCCCAATGAAAACGGGACGGCCATGTTAACAAATCCCACGGTAAGCGCCACACGTGCATTTCTGCGGATGTACCGCAAGTCCACTTCCAAACCAACAATAAACAAGAAGAAAATGATACCGATGTTGGCTACTATAGTAAGTCCACTAATAGACGAGGTGGGAAAGCAATTCGCTGTGAATCCCGGGACCCGGCCCATGACTGTAGGCCCCAAAACAATACCCGTTATAACCTCCGCAATCACCCGTGGCTGCTTGAGTTTGCTCAATGGCCAGTGTAAGAAATGACAAAGAATCATGATGAGCACACTTTGGAAAAGAAAAACCGTGTACGGCGACGAGGCCGAGTACTCGAGAGGATTACGCCCAGCCACTACCCTGACAACAGACTCCGTGGAAACACCCGCCACCTTTTGTGCTGCGCTGTCTTGATTTTTGTATGATACTAAGTAATTGTATTACGAGCTGCTGTTGGTGCTTGACAGCGTGCATGGAGAAATGTCGCCATCTGCCATGTACGCCCCACAGTGCGGCTGTTATGCAGATCCGCCTTGCCGTGTATGCATCCGCGCCACGCTGTATGCCGAGCGACGTGCTAACTCCGGTCGAGAATTACCATCAGTATTGGAAGTTTACGCATGAAGTCAACTGAAAGACTTATAAAACGTTCTCTTGATGTATTCATTCATTCCACGCATTTTCTTCCTTACAACAGAGCCTCTAGGTTGATCAAGAGACTGTATGTCTCGCGGGGCATCCTATATTGGATCATACCGGCGTAAACCATACAGTTCTTAGCAATAGTCTTCAACTTGTCGAGCTCGCCTCTCTCTTGGCCGCCCATGCCAAACTTCTTCGTTGAGGCGTTATGGTTGATTTGCGCAATACTCGTCATCACAATCATGAGCACGGAAGGAATGACCTTGACCAACTTCACGTCATAGCCATTCAAAGCTTCGGCCGCGCGTCTGACCTCGATAAAATCATCTGTATCGACGATAGGTACGAGTCCCAAGTTTTTGATGCCGTCCAAAGCACCTTGCCAGTCTTTTTTAACGAATCTATCTCTGATGTCAACCATTGGCAACAAGTACTCGTTAATCTCCTTCTCCTTCGGCGTAATCTGGCCGGAAATGAAACTGTTTCTTTCAAAGATGCCCTTGAGCTTGCGTGCTAACAAAATGAGGTTATTCTCGCTTGTTTCCACTGGCTGCATGCCTCCTTCAGGGGTGCGATAAGTGGCGCCCGTCAATAATGGCTTGTCTAATTCGGTCATGGACAAAATTTCGCTCAAAAACTTGTTGAGTAGCGACACCACCGTGTCGTATTCCTGGCAGAGTTGGTAAAGACGCAATGCATCGAATGCCCTTCCCTCTTCCTCGCATCTCTGTGCGCTGCGCTCGGTGATCTGGCTGTAAAACTTCTTGATGTCCGGAAGGTTGATGAGGGCTCTCTGGTGCTCGAGAATACCTGGAACTTTGTCCCCCGTGTCTGGGTTCAAATCGCCAAGAAGAAGACCAAACTCGCGGGAAATCAGGATGAGCTCGCGCAAAGCATCGTGGCATTTGACAGATTCCTCGGCGTTGTGGCCGCCCTTGGAAAGACAGATTAGTATGAGGTACTGAGCCGCTACTTTAGGGTCACTGATCTTGAACGTGCGCGTGTATGACCCCAAGAGCCTGCTGAAATTGACCTGGTAGGCATCGTTCGAATCCACCACAATCAAGTCATCGGAAGTAGACTTGGAAGACTTCAACAAGCCATAGTAGCTCAAGGCAATGGCAAGGTGCACAGCGTCACATTCGTTGATGTTTTCGTACACATACTGGACAGCCAATTCGTACAAGCCGAGCATCACCAAGGTCTTGGCATAAACAGGGTGGTTCGACGAGGCGTTGAATCTGGCAGGGCCCGAGGACACCACTTTCTTCTGTAAGCTCTCGAGTCTGTAGTTTTCATAGAGCAAGTCGGAGGCTGCCGTGGAGCCAAACTCGTTCAAGATCAGCAAATGAAACCACAACCAGTCCTCGATGCTCAAATTGAGAGCCGCAGGCAAGTTTTTCTTGACCAAGTCACACTTGCCTATGATTTTATACACGGCATACTTGTATGGGTCAAAGGTGGCTGCATCCTCGTTGAGATACTGGAGGGACTGGCTGTAGTCCGAAGAGATGCGCTCGTGCAACTCACTGGGCAAGTCGAAACAGCCCAGTTTGAAGAAGTGAGACATGTAGATGGGGAAGTTCTTGTCAAACTTGTTGAACGCTTCCTCGTTGGCCTGGGTCAAGTCGACGGCCTCTGCATAGAGTCCACTTCTCATCAAGTAGAAGACGAGAGCCCAAATGGGCACGCCGTTGTAGTTCAAAGTCCTTTCCATCAACTTGGAGTCGTTGTTTTTCGTGATGACCTTGTGGATGAAGTACGACACCTTGTTGATGTTTGTCGCCGGCTGGAACTCGGGGGGCTTCTGGTCGTCCTTCGTATAGATCTCGTCCATGTAGTTGAAGAACTGCAGTTCCAACGCCAGCTTCGAGTGTTTCACGACCTGCTTTCTGAGCGTCTTCTCGGGCTGTGCACCCTGGTAGGACTCGAAGAAAAGCTGCTCCTGGTTGACTGTGGCCAGCTTCTCGTCACTGAGGTCGGCAAGAATGCGCCAGATCTCGCCCATCTGCTTGGACTTCGAGTCTGCGCTGGTCTTGCACAAGTCCGCAAAGCTCAGGCAGAGCGGGAACGGCCTGTTTTCCAAGCGGCTCTCGTTGAGCTTATACACCACGCGCGCATTGCTCTCGAACTTGTCTCTGGAGACGTGGCGCGTCGAGTTGGCGGCCGTTTTGGACAGGGCCAACGGCGCCAACACGCGCGACGCGCCGGGCAACGACTTGTTCCATGTGAACGACTTTGCGAGCTCCTCGCTGGTGATCTTGGTGCGCACAGGAATGCCCAACTGCCGCTTGAGGTTGTCTTTGCGCACCTTCCAGTCAATGGCCACGCTCAGGTTGATGAAGCGGTCAAAGTCCCTGGAAGCAGACACCAACGACTGCTCGATGGCGCTCAAAACGGTCTCGTCCTTCTTGGCGCCCAAGTAGTTTTCGATGTCCTCGCGTTCCGCGCTAGTTTCCACGTCGCGAGCGTAGTTTTGGCCCGTGTTCTCGGCGCCAGCCTCGCCGCCCTGAGGGCGTGGCAAGGCGTCCAACTCGGCCTCGAAGTCGGACGCGTTGACGCCGCTTTTCGACAACAAGTAGTGCGCTTTGGTGTGGTTTCCGCCGTGCTTCTCGTTCTTGCGGAGCTGCAGCGTCTCCTTGCGCAACTCGCTCAAAGGCAAGCTTATCGGGCCGATGCTGCCGTGGTGCAATTTGGGCAAGTTGTGGGCAGAATCCAACAAGTCCTTCAAGATCCGCGTGGACGAGGCGTCGGGCGTTATTTGTGCGGGCAAAGCCGGCGCCGCCACGCCGTTTTTGGGGAATGCCGGGGCGAACGGGGCGGCCGCGGCGCTTGCGGGTGTTCCGGCGGCATTGCCGCTCGAATTGGGCGTGTTTGTGGTGGCGGCACCCGCCGAAGAAAACGGCTGGTTTTGCTGCGTGGAGCCAAACGCGGAGCCAAAAGAGGACGGCTGCGTGGACTGCTGTGTGGGGGGCTGGGCGGAAAAAAGCGACATTTCGGATCCGGGCACGGGCGGCGGGGACAGTCACGTGAAAAAAAGAGCAGAAATGGCGTGTTGGGCCCCGTTTTGCTGAGTGGTCAAATGTGCTGATGCCTGCTAACATCGCGGTCGGTCTACGCTGAGGCCCTTGTCTTAACAGAGCAGTGCGACTGGAGGGCCGGGTTACCCGGCGCGCGAGCGTTCAGTACTTAAGGCGGAGGCGCGGCCCGCCTTTTGGGTTTAAATTTTTTTTTCCAACTTTGTCCAAAAGTAATCCATCACATTAGACAGTGCATCGTTATGGTCTGGCGGACATCTGTGGTTGCTGGGCAGTTTTTGCCTTGGCGGCCACGCCGATAGCCGCTGACGCTTCTTGTAATCGAGTGCGATAGCTGATGGAGAGAGAGACGTTTGAATCTATAAGAACTTGTCTGGATCGCGAGAGCTGAAAGAGAGGTGTCAGAAGATTCACACATTATTTGTAGGCTGTAGGGTTTATGCTGGTTGTGGCTTGGTTCGGGGCAAGTCTGAAAGAGAGATCTTCGCGGTTGGGCCATATTCTAGTGGACCATGAATTTCGTTTTTTTTTCGATTTGTATTTCATTCAGATATTTGGTTTGAATTTTTTGGTTTGCCGACGCTTTGTCTGGGGAAAGTCCGGCAAATGGTGTTGTTCTCTCGCCTGAGATTTGCTGCGATGGGCGCTGTTTTGACTTTCAGAACGAAGGCCTGTATTCAGGCCACTTTTTGGCTGTTCTCTGGAGGCTGTCTGTTTTATGGTCTGTTTTATGGTCTGCCTCTTGTCTGTTCTCTCTTCTGTTCTCTGGTCTGTCTCCTGTCTGTTCTCGGTCTGTGTAGTTGGTCTCTTCCAAAATCAAAACCGTACATTTTAAGTGCTCTCTGGTATAGCATCTGTCTACAGTCAAACCGGCATCATTGATCAAGTATATTTATATGCGCAAAGCATGTATCATGCAACTTCTTCTTTTGACTGACTGTGCCATTTGTGCCAGATCCAGAGGGCTCGATTTCTGATGGATAGTCCATTTTGATCTCGTCTTTTCGCAGATGAACGTTTGCTTTAATTAGCCAAGCATGGTCTTTCTTCGATAGCCAGCGATGTAAGTAGTCAACATCTCGTACTTCCATCGACACTGCGATTAGACAATCATTTGCGAGACAGAATATGATTTATAGTAGCTACCTTGTCATGACCATTCTTTCATTTACTCGATGGTCAGCATAGCCACACGACAATAGTACAAATATGAACATCAGTGATTAGTGCATTCCAGGATTGACCTAGTCTTCGGCCGGATGCGCAAACCTAGCTTAGTTGTCTCGTCTGATTTTGTATGGTCTAACTACAAGCTCCTCAAACAGCTCCTAAAGACATACTCTGGGTAGAACTCAACCTGTCCCCTTTATTACCCAAATGGGTCAAGCATCTGGCTTCTGTGTACGGACTGGTATTGCGGAATCTTTTCTGAGGATAAGCCCCATGGAGTCGTCGCTATGAATTAGAAGGTATAATAGCATTTCACAGGCATGTTTCTTGTGACTGGCGGGATCGAGTGCACCCGTTTTAGAGTCTGGGGCGAACAAGTTGATTTTGAAGTTTTCCAAAAGTATTGATTTCATCTCGTGGCTTGGGTAAACCACAGCTCATGCCATCTATGTTTCAGCCTTGCCCAATGTGAGCGTAGGAAAAAGCATCTGCCCTAGGATGCAAGAGAATTTCGTGACAGCGAAACAAAACACTACTCTGAACGGTTTCTGGCACTCAGGTCATTGCATTCAGTCCAAAGCGCCTGTTTTGAAGTAAATATGGCGTCCAACAATCAGGTCTGTTCACGACATTCGATTAGTCTATGATGTAGTGGATGCAGTGCAGCTAAACCAAGACAGCTTGATGTATGCTTCGACTTTTCGATTTGATCTTCAAGGAAGAAACGAATTTCAGTTAGTTCATCAAGATGTTCAATTCTACTGCTGACTGAGTCAAGCAGGTAGCCTCATACAGCTGACTGATGCAGTTGTACTAGTCAAGCGAAATTGTGTTCTTATCTTCTGCACCACATTCCGTTCTTCTGAGGACCGGCCATATTCTCGTCAATCATACTCCTTTTCACCGTTTCGTCGACCATCCCACTGCAACACTTGCAGTTTGAGCACACAGCCTACGTCCCATGCCAGTATGCCATATATTGATACCCATAAACAAGTCAATGCAACGAAATGCTCTAAATGCCCCAGAGGCATAAATGTAAAGATGCCACAAATGCACAAATACACAGATTCACAAATGCATAAATGTAAAGATTTCATGGATGCACAAATGTCAGATTCATGAATGCACAAATGTCAGATTCATGGATGCACAAATGTCAGATTCATGGATGCACAAATGTCACATTCATGAACGCACAAATGACAGATTCACAAACGCAGAAATGCACATACCCCTCGGCAGGCTCACAAGTCCGTGAGACACACATCCGGAAACTCCTCCTCGTCGTTGTTGCCGAGCCCACCGGCAAAGTGGGCCCTGCACGAGTACTCCTTGATGGGGAAGAACCAGTAGCCCATGGCGAGAACGGCGTACACCGCGTACACGGCACTGACGTAGTTCATGGAGCTGGCGCTGACCGGCATTTCCGACGGAAGCGAGAAGAAGACCAAGGCGAACACCGTCCATGCAACGGTCATGATGTTGGCAAACAAGCCCCAGTTGCCGAGCCAGAAACACCCGTGGCGGATGTTGTTGCGGCCGCGGTACAACAAACACAACGTGGGCACCATGTAGCTCAACAACAAGAACGTGATGCATCCGACCACCATGGAGTTGAACGCCGTCAGCGACGCCAAGTACAAGCAGCCCAAAATGGCCACGAGCACTGACGACACCAAGTGGGCGTTCAAGGGCACGCCCAAGTTGGGGTCCACGATGGACAAGTACTTGGAGAAAGGCAAGCCGTTGTCCCTGCTGAACGACCAGCACAATCTGGCCTGCCAGGTGTGCGACGAGACCGTGCAGCCGATTCCCGTGAGCAACATCAAGGTGCCCAAGCAGATGGCGCCGGCCTTGTTGTTCAACGCCTGGTAGTAGATGTCGAGAATGGGCAAGCCCGTGCCGTTGTTGATGATGTCGTCCAAGTTGGTCACGCAGAAAAACATGGAGATGGCGTACGTCAACGACGTGACCATGCCGATGGTCACCGTGCCCAAAATGGCGATGGGGATCACGCGGTCCGCGTTGTGCACCTCCTCCGCCAAGTGCGACGCGGAGTCAAGACACGAGAAACTCCAGTTCGGGTTGATCAAGCCCACGATGAACGCGATGCCCGCGCTCTGCCAGCCGGTGTTGTTTTCGAACTTGACAAACACAAAGTCCGCCAGCTGGTAATTGCCGCGGGCACACACCAAGACCGTGAGCGTGATGACCGTATATGAGAACAACGACGTGTAGAGCGCGCCGTTGGCGATGTACGGCAAGTACTTGCCGTAGCAGTTGAACACCACGAGCGACGCGTTCACGAGCTGGTACACCACAAAGAGCTCCCAGGTCCGGGTCACGTGCGCCGGGTGCATCAAGTTCCAGAAGCCCATGATGGTCAGCGCAAGACTGAGCGCCATGGACGCGCTGGTGAAGAGCGACCCGGCATATGCCAACGAGCCGCAGAGGTACGCCAAGAACCCCGAGTACTTGCGGGGCGAGAGCACACGCGTCCACACGTACTGGCCGCCGGCCGAGGGAATGGCGGACGAGAGCTCGGAAAGCGTGATGCCGATGTTGTACGAGATGAACGCAATGATGATGATACCGTAGACAATCATCAACGGGCCTCCGGACTGGATGCCGGTGACGAGCGAGGCCGAGATGCCGAACCACGAGTTGGTCAAGCCAAAGCCGATCCCCAACACCGACCACACGGAAAACGTGCGTTTGAGCTCGCCGCTCTTGGGCTCCAACGAGCTGTCGGTCTCGACCTCCTTGCCTTTGTCGGCAGTGTACACCGTGGTGCCGTAGGCCTTTTCCTCTTCGCTCTTGGGGTAGTCCATGGTGGGGTCTGAAATTCGGGCAACAAAGAAGAGGCGGACAGGCGGGCCATATATAGGACAACGATGCGCCTATGAGATAACGTGAAATTTTTGAGATCATCTGCGCCTGTGTGCCGGCGCGTGAGACGATACGCGGACTGCAGGGGCGCGCCTACTCTAAATGCGACTCTGGACCACGCCCGACATGTTGCCGGGGGCCATCGTAGGTTTCTAACGGGGAAGATTTCTGCAGCACATTTAGGGGCATATAGCTGGAGCGCTGGGCTGCATGACACGCTGGGGCAGGGAACTTGTGGGTAGTACCTGGGTCACGTGGGAAGCACTGGGGTCACGTGGGAAGCACCTGGGTCACGTGGGAAGAACCCGGGTCGGTCACGTGGAAATTGTATTGTCGGATCCCCTCAAGTGTACATGTAAATCACTGGGCCGCCTCAATTGACACGAGACAGCGTATATGGTACTTCCTAATACGGCGCTGGTAGGCCCTGTGGTTGACGCTGGGCGGATCCCTCGTTATCGAGTCGTGGCCAGATAAGGCGCTTCTGTGCAGGTCGCTTATATCTGAGCCCCCAGGCTCTATGTTTACGGCTGTCAACCGGGCGCAAAAGAAGCTTCCAAAGCCATGCAGAAGCAACGGTTCATACGGCGCACAAATAGACACGGCCGTAGTGTAGAGCCATAGGCAGCAGTATGGCCAAAGTCACATGCCAGTGGAGGAGTGCAGACAGTCCCCGGCATGCGGCGCGGTAGCAGCCGCTTGCTTATCCTGGCTATATGCCGGGTTTTGGGCTCGGATACCGCGGCCGCGCTGCACTGGCAAAACCGTAGGGTAGCAGGACGCACATAAACAGGCCGGGCGCCAACTGGTCTGTCTTTTGAGATGTTGTTTTTTTTATTAGAAAGGAGGTGCTCACGCTTATATCAACTGTGAGAAGACGAGCTGCAGTCAAAAAAAATTCTCGCCAAGTTCGGGCTTCTCGTTGCGCTAGCGGCAAATTCTGCATACGAGGTACGAGGCACTCATATCATCACAAGACTTCTCGTATGAGCGTCGGATCCTGTAGTCACATACCATTTTGCAGATAATTTCACAAGAGTTATAGAAAGCCTTTTGTTTATGTGCGTTTTCAGATGTAAACAGGCCGCAATAATGAAACACTACACACTCTGCGATTCTACTTTCGGTTTTCCTTGTCATGTAATACTGGATCAACCGTCGACTTGTAGACGAAGGCCATGCTGAATTCTTCTTGGATGTCAGACTCATCAGCTTAGACATTTCAGACCATGTATTTCCTATGGAACAGACTTAAAATTGAAAGACTCGACGACCTTCTTACTATCCCATTGTTTGTCGTTACTACATCACGTTTGAGCAACTTTCTGAAATAAGAAACACTGTTTGTCAGTGCATCGGTGGACTCACTTCTGCGCCATTTGGATTCATCCAGACTGCTAGCATGCAGCTTTAGATTTTTTCAGTTCCCATTGTACCGCATTTTTCCAATTGTACTACCAGGCTTATTTATTATTTTGTTGACTCCTGTTATAACCTTTTTTTGATCTTATTCTAATAATCAGTGCAAAATCGCTTCAGTTGAGATCCTACCAATTTTTTCGTCACTCTCATTGAGTCCGCATTTAAAATACCGAATATTTGCGAAACCAAAAGATCTGTCAGTTGACTCATCAGCCTCTTCATTGCCATTTCCACTGGCAGTCTCGGTGACAGCAAACCGTGTATTTCGAACACAATCTCATACTAGCGTCAAATTGACTACAATTGCTGGGTTATAAAATTTTTTTTTCTAAGATCCTTTAGTAAAACTTTAGACGCCATGCACAGCCAGAGAGCACCTTTTCTCCCGATCGAATGTATTCTTCCACGTAAAGTAGTTCATGGCTGCATAATCTTATCCGAGCCTCAGAACACGCTTGCTACTCGGGACTAAGGTTAATCAATTCTCCTAAGTCTCCAAGCTTTAGAGCAGAGAGACACGTTGATTCTTTTGGTGGTTTCTGAAGCGTGGTAGTCAATACTTCTTGCTCGCACCATAAAAGACATTTTGAAAAAGAACCACGCAAGCCGGGGTATGAAGCTTTATGTGACAACACCACAAATTGCAATATATTTACTTTGATATCCAGCTGATAACCTAAAACAAGTTTAGGGAATGATTTCGGGAGAAGTCTTTCTCAGTATTATTACGCAAAATTAGCTCATTTTTTTCAGAATGAGAATCAAGAATTCGAAGGAAAATTCTTCCAAGTAAGACTACTCTTTTAGGCAAAATTCGAAGTGAGTCCATAGTTCTAGCACATTAAATTTTTAAGAGAAGTCACGTTGGAGAACTGTTATAGAAAGAGAAAACTCGCGTGTAATATCGGTACCGGATACTCCATTTTATTTGACCTGCGGGAGGCTATGGCTAGCCATTTTGAAGTGAAGAGGTAGGGGTAATTGTCGAAGTTTGTTGATAACATTCATTAATTAGACTTACGAAGATACTCCTAGTTCAAAATAATTAAGTTCAAGCCTCGTGAGTTCTATTCTAATTGATTTTTTGTTTTATTGATGAAATTAAACGAAACAAGTGAGGCTTACCATCACATTAAAGGAGGAAAATCAGCAATGTCTGTCTCTCAAATGAGAAAACGAAGACCGGAAAAATGTCTCAGAACATGGCTCAGTATGGTTTCCATTAGTCGATGTAAGAAGTGTTCGATCTCATACTGGTTGTGCTCCCTATAAACAGAATCTCAAGAACTGGGCATGGGTCCCGGTTATTCAGGCGGAAAAGAATAAAACCCTACGGCGGGACAATTTTCCTTGAAACACCAGAGATAATATTGAGAAATTGCTCGGTTTTATGGCCAAGCTCAATAGATTCAGTATTTCGATGGCAGCACATGCCATAAGAATATTGCACTGGGTGAAAAATGTGACCAGTAAGTAATGACAGAAAACCCCCTGAAATTTTACACCCGACTTTCCACCAAAATCAATTTTCCGAGGCAAAATGGAACCGTGGCCCTTTTGATAAAATAAGGGGAAGCTTTGGTGACTATAAATTTTTAGACAGGAGCGGCTGCTTGTCAATATTTGCAGCTCAAAATTACTAATCTTTGGGGCTAACGGTGGGAGCGTTTCTACAACCGACTCTGACGGACAGCTCATTTACGTCAGGATATTATCATGCGTTGTAAGAAAGTTAACAGGGAATCGAGAAATCCACCAAAAACGAGCCAACTACATTTCCCTAGTGCTTGAAAAAGTGCTTGACAAAATAATCAAAATAACAAACGGGCATCTCGAGCCGTGGTGCGATAGGCCTTCATTAATCAATGCGGCCTTGTTCGCTTATGATTTTTTTAATTAATATGTGAACCGCTCATGGACAGACTAATTCTGCCCAGAATGCCTTTTGATCGGGCACTCAACTTAAAGCTGCCCTTACCAATGGCTACTGGTGTGGAAGATATTGCCGGGAAAAATTCACCGTGTGATATAAGCTAGCTAGGACGAATTCAAGAAGGACAACACACGGTAAATACAGTCAAAACAAGCGCCGGCAAAAAAAGGAGAGCTACCTAAAACCAACTAGCAAAACACAAACATACTGCGGAAAGAAAGCCTGGATTTCTAGTGACTCTGTTTGGATAGCCGGGCTTCTCGGTACTTTTGGCGCAGGTGACAGACGAAGCAAGCACCTCCCACAGTTGGCGTACTTTTGATTGATTCCACCAAAAATTAGAAGAATGGGAAATTTCAAGATTGAAAAAAAAAAAGAATAAAAAAGTCAGAGATTGAAACAGTATATGTATAGGAGAATCAAAGAACAAAAAAGTACAAGAACAAAAGTACAAGAATAAAAGAGTACAAGAATAAAAGCACAAGATTAAAAGTACACGGATAAAAGAGAATAAAGAATAAAAGTACAAGCACAAGAGTACAAGGATAAAGGAGTACAAGAATAAAAACACAAGAATAAGAGTACAAGAATAAAAGTACACGGATAAAAGAGAACAAAGAATAAAAGTACAAGAATAAGAGTACAACGACCGAAGAGCACAAGAATAAGAGAGTATAAAAAATGGCAGGCGTCCTATGGAAACCACATCTCTGGGAGGCTCTAGAGACCAGGCCCTGGGCGGGGCACCCCCATTAATGCAAATTACAATGTGCCACCAATAACTCACTATCCAAAGCTCCAGTCGGCTTGTTTTACTCCATGCTGTTGGCCCGGCTTCCTGTAATATTCTGCCTCTTGAGAAAGCTGGAAATAGCCAGCCCACGCTGTCACGTGATGTGCCAAAACCAGGACGGGCGATCGGACGGCCAGTTCATGGACAAAGCATCTTCACCCGCCAGTAAAAACGTATTGCTTTGCGCAGGCCACGATTCCTGAGCGTTCATATAGTGACACTGGTGACGTTAATAAATCTGAGAGACCAAGTGGTAGCGTGCGGTGTTGTCACGTGGTATCCGCCATGTAGTCACCTCCCACGTGGCAAGGAAAAATCACTTCCGTAAAGGAAGAATTAATCCGTTCTTTTTTCTCCTTCAAGGGTTTATATTTTCATAAGGATCCTAAGTAGCGTACATACTTGAATTGAGAAATCAGATCTTGAAAGCTATTGAAACAGACCCCGCGCGGCGCGCCTCTGTGCAGTCCGCGCGCTCGACCCGCACTTGGGCTCCACTCTCTACTGGTATTCTCTCTTTCCTCTCTCTTTATTCTCTTCTCACTTCCCCAGTTGCCCACTCCACATTTCCCTCCGTCAGTCTCTTTTGCTGCCGACCGTCTCGCCCTCCCATTTCTGCCGCCACCCCCAAGATGCAGTACGTGGGCAAAGTCGGGGACTATGTGTACAACCAGTGGAACTCGCTCAACCCGGCCACGCTTTCTGGCGCCATTGATATTCTAGTCATCGAGCATCTGGACGGCTCGCTCCACTGCTCCCCCTGGCATGTGCGTTTCGGCAAGTTCCGCATCATCAAGCCGCTGCAAAAAAAAATCGACTTGTTTGTGAACGGCGTCCAAACAGATCTCCCGATGAAACTAGGCGACGGCGGCGAGGCGTTTTTTGTGTTTGAGACCGACTCCACGGACTTGCTGCTGCTGCTCATGACGTCACCGGTGGTCAGCGCCACCAGCTCGCCGGAGACCAGCCCGGCGGCCGCCGGGTCCGCGGCGGCGGGTGCCCGGGGCGAGCCGGAGGCCCTTGATTTAAACCGCGGCCCCGACCGGGGGCCAGAATCGCCGGATCGGGGGCCAGAGTCGCCGGTTTCGGTGGCAGAGTCGCCGGTTTCGGAGGCAGAGCCGCCGGTTTCGGAGGCAAAGTCGCCGGATCAAGGGTCCGAATCGCCGGATCAGGGGTCACAGTCGCTGGATCAGAAACACGGCTCCGCTATGCAAGGACGGCAGCTCGACGCCAGTGCAGACTGCCTGGATACCAGCAAGCTGGCGTCGCTGGCGCTGCGCATCACGTTCGAAAAGGTCAAGCGCATCACGCAGGACCTCAACATCCCGCTGAAAATCGACGCCAACGGCGACGTGATTCTCGACATGGACGGGTACAAGCCCAACTCGCAGAAAAACATCGACTCGTCCGTCCGGCTCGTGCACGACATCTTCTTGCGCGAGATTCAGGCTGCGTCGGGCGACACGGGGTCTTTGGCGCTGCAGGGTGCGGTTTCCGGCGGCCTGGAGGGGCCCATGTCCGAGCTCCATCTCTTGCAGAGCCTAATTCGGAAGGACGCGGACGGCCAGATCCGCCTTGTGTCCGAGGACGCCGGTTTTGGTGATGCCGGTTTTGGTGATGCCGGGTTTGAGGATGCCGGTTTAGGGGATGCCGGTTTAGGGGATGCCGGTTTCGAGGACCCCGGTTTCGAGGACGCGGATTTCAAGGACGCGGGCGCGGACCATGCCCCGCCGCTTGACGCGGCGCCCGCTCCCGAAAAGACCGCCGGAACCGGCCCGCAGCCGGCCCCCGAATCCGCAGACCCCAGCCCCGGCGCCGGCAAAACATACATCAAAACGTTGCGCCTCACCTCCGAACAGCTCCTGAACCTCGGGCTCCAGTACGGGCGCAACCGCGTGGAGTTCCGCCTGTCGCAGGGCGGCGCGCAGGTCGTGGCGGACCTCTACTTGTGGAAGTCCAACTGCCCCATCGTCATCTCGGACATCGACGGCACCATCACCAAGTCCGACGCGCTCGGCCACGTGTTGAACATGTTTGGCCGCGACTGGACCCACCCCGGCGTGGCCAACTTGTTCCAGGACATCACGCGCAACGGCTACAACATCCTCTACTTGACCGCGCGCTCGGTGGGCCAGGCCGACACCACGCGGCAGTATCTCGACAGCATCAACCAGGACGGCATGCGGCTCCCGAAGGGCCCCGTGATCTTGAGCCCCGACAGGACCATGGCCGCGTTGCACCGCGAAATCATCCTCAAGAAACCAGAGGTGTTCAAGATGGCGTGTCTCCGCGACATCAACAGTCTCTTCTTCGCCGCGCCGCCCGCGGGCCGGGAGCCCGACCTGGCGGCCAACGACCGCACGCCGTTCTACGCAGGCTTCGGCAACCGCATCACCGACGCCATCAGCTACCGCAGCGTGCAGATCCCGTCGCACCGCATCTTCACCATCAACCCGAACGGCGAGGTGCACATGGAGTTGCTCGAGTTGGCAGGCTACCGTCTGTCGTACTTGCACATCGGCGAGTTGGTGGACCAGTTCTTCCCGCCGCTCAAGTACATCAGCGACTTCAGCCACGGCTGGAACCAGCACCAGCTCGACCAGTACATCCACAGCAAGGACACAGACCTGCAGACCGACAGCCTCCGCCCCGCCTCGCCCCGCCTGCCCTTGGCCCCGGGGTCCCCGCGCAGCGTGCTTTCGGAGGAGCGGATTGTCCGGCCCGACGAGCGCTTCACGGACTTGAACTACTGGCGCGAGCCCATGGCCAATTTGAGCGATCTCACCGACTCGGACGACGTGGACGACGATGCCGCGCGCTCGGTCAAGTCCAGCCCCCCGTCGCCCCAGCCGCAGGCCTCCTCTCCCCCGGCCTCTCCCCGTTTAGCATCCTCGTTGTTTGCAGAAGATACCAGTCCGAAGCAGGAACGGCCCGTTTCTGCGTCGTTCACGTCGCCGTTGAAAAACTTCATGATCCGAGGCGGCAACTCAACCGCGGCTCCCAAGCCCATGAAGTCCCCGTTGAGACTCGGGCCGGAGGCGCTCAGTGGCGCTGGCGATCTGAAGACGCCTGGCCGTCTTAGCGACGAAGACGACGACTACACGGACGACGACTATGAGGACGACGACTACGGAGATGAGGAAGATGAGTACGAAGACGACGATGAAGACGACGACGATTATGACGATGACGACGACGAAGAAGATGAAGACGACGACGAAGAAGATGAAGACGACGACGAATATGACGATGAAGATGATCAAGACTTCGACGTCCAGGATGACGAGCTCAAACCCAAGCATGGCGAGGGCCGGGAAGACCACGCAAAAGAAGAGGGTGTCGATTCTAAAGAGGAAGTTTGTTGCGCCGACCCAGACGTGGATGAACACGCTAACCAGGAGGTTGACCACGATGACTTGGACCTAGATGCCAATGGCCAAGAGGTTGATGACGAGGACTTGGATCTAGACGACGGGCTTCCTGAAAAGTGTCTATCCTTCCACGCTTCCTCCGAGCCTCCAGTGAAGTGCGATGGTGAAGACTACAGAATCATGACTGCAAGCGACATGCTCAAAGGCTTAGACATATAGCATTGAGGTGTCTAAGAGCGCTCGAGACAGACGTTTTTCTCTGGTGACGCTGATATGTGCTTTTCGTGAATGTCACGCCGCAGAGTATAAGCTTTCCAATCGAAAGAGCGAGCCATTGTTCATTTTCTATTCACAAGCATCCGCCGCATTTCAGCTTAAATGAAGAAGGCTCGCTTCCGCCAAAGAATGGCGTGTATCTTACTGCAGCTGATTCGGCTCGTTGACGATTAACCCTCTTGACGGAAATGCAGTGTGTGGAAGAAAGCACCCTGGCCCCATGTTTATATTTGCAGACTTCCATGCCATTCGTTCTCAGTACAATTTCTACTAAAATATCGAGACGGTTCCTCTGTCAGTGATTTGGAAGACTTTGATCTCGCATGCATTCATTATATCCTGAATATGCCTTATAGCCAATCAAATTACAAAAATCTACGATACTTGTAGATCCGTAAACGAAAATGGACTATTTCTAGATTGCTCGTTGTTCGTAAGTTGCTCGTATGAGGATTGGGGAATATCAATTTTGAAAACTGTACCAGTATCAACAACTACACGGGAACTTGGTCAGTTTTGGCACAAACCAGATCGGATGAGCCACGTAGAGTTAATGTAAACGAAACAAAGCCCATAAAATTGATCCTGCACTATTTCCCACGGCTAGAAAACAGCTAAATTAGGGCTCCTGTCAAATAGCTTGCCCAGCTAATGACATCGCAGATCAACAATGTACAACGCATCGCATATTTCATATAAGATCTTATTTTCTACATAAATTCAGTTAAAAAAAAAAAAAAAGACGAGCGACAAATACGTAGGATGCTTGTCACACTATGAGGATGTGCAATATCGCCTACCTCCTCCCCACACCCCAATTTGTATCAAAACCAAAATGGCGGTATTTCTACTGCTACAGAGATTCCCAGAAACTATAGAGACGATTGGGCATCCTGATTCCAACAACAATAGAATATTTCATGTCTGTATACATATACAATAGGCCGGTCCTTCATACTGCGAAGCAGCTCCTTGAATCAGTCCTCCCTTTCTGGCTTTTTTTTTGTGCTTTCCCACCATGTCAGAAGGCCCCGTGTTCTTGTATACGCCATATGGCGACAAGGAAATTGAAACAGTACCTTCAGACAAAATCCAGCCTGATACCAGGATCGTACGTGCACCCTCGATATGGCTCAAGCCTACCGGTCCGACCCCTGACACGGTACCTCTTTTAGACGTGCTCATCAACAGCGACTACGCTGCGGCTGCCTTGATTTCTACCGGTAGTAATGCTGACTTCATCAGCGACAAACTTGCAGACCAAATCGGCACCAAAAAGTCTCGCTTGCCGTATGAATGTGTGTGTCAATTGGCGATTGCCTTTGCAGTGCCCATCACACATTCCGTGGAGCTCCAATTCGAGGCAAACGGTAAACGTTTTGTGCGCACGTGCCTTGTGTTTCCAGATATGAGAATCGAACTCATTTTCGGCGCTCAGTTTGTGATTGACTTCCCGACGGTGGACGTCGTCAAAAAGACTTTCAATGGGAAACCCATGTATAACCCGTAGCTCGGGGCTATAATCCTCAAGCTTTTGGGCACATACTCGGTCGAAATGCTGGCTGGTCTTCAAGTAGATGGGAGCTTGCTTAAGCTGTGTGTGCGACCAGTGTGGCTGTGAGATAAACCGACGGAGGGTATTTCCAGTGCTTTTATCAATAAATATTAGTGCAGTGCTTCAATTTCTGTTCGCAATACTGAAAAGTTGGTGGTGGGCTCTGCTCAAGAGCCTGTTTGAACACACATCCGATATTACTCTTTTTGTCGGGCTAAAACCCAAGTATTTCGCATTGCACTTTCATCAGTGGTCAATTGTAAAACACAACAAAGCCGGAGTCAAGTTTTTTGCGTCACGTTAAGCTATTTAGCCACTATAGAAATGCTGCAATTTAGTATGATACGTTGAGTAAGTTTCTAACCACAACTGATGGGACGTTGCAGATAGCTACACAACAGCGTAGGACGTGAAGGACACCGAGGTTCATGCGTCAGATTCAACAGGTGAAGGAACCTAAGTACGATACTCTATAACCGTGAGTTCCGAAATGCGAAGTCAATTGTCATCTTATCAAAGAAAATATATTTTCTTGAAACATTATATTGTAGGGTGTCACTGGAGGCATTCAAGACCCCACCACTGGAAACCTGCTAGAAAATACCTATAGTCGTGAAAGGGACTTCAGGGAAGATAGGGGTTATGTATTACTATCTGACCACTGGATTTCCTATAACTCTACAGGAGCTCTATTCCACCACACTTTTCCTAAAGGCCTCGTGACAGGAATCCCTAGAACTTGAGAGAATATTCAATGAGTTGTTCAAAATGATTCATGACAATACTCACAAAAGTGAAATTGTACATAGTCATATTTTTTTTGTTAGGTTCAACTGATCAAAAAAGCAAAACTATGTAGATAATATATAAACCCTTTTAACAGCTGCATGCGCTCAAAAGTATCAAGCTGATACCAAGGGCCTTACAAATAGATCGCAGCATTGGCTCAGGCAAGAAAACGCGAGCACCAATTCACGAAATCTCCCAAAGAGGATATGGCCCTCAAAAATACTTCTGCCCATAACCAACGTCAACTTTCATTGTTTGTAGTTTGACTCGTTGGTAACAAAGTTTGATACCTTCAATCAGGTTGAGTTGAGCTAGAAACAGTTCTAGGGCCAAATTGATAATAAGAGGCAATAGGGGGTTTCCTTGCCGTGTGCCGCATTGTAGTGGAGAGTAAGGCCCTTCGCAGTTATCCATAAAAATCTGACCTGATTGCTCCGTTATGATCACTTACCAATATTCGAAAGGCGGCACATCCCTTCTCAGAACTTCCGTGTCACTAGCACTCCTAAGAGACTTTTAGCTGTAATTTATGTAAAGAAAGCTCATGATTTCAAATAAGGGAATGCGCCGAAGGAGAAGGTGATTTTTGTTTAGCGGTTATATAATTGCAGCGTCCTAGATTTCTCGGTTGCGGCCATACCATGGAGAACACACTGTTTCCCGTCCGATCAACGTTAGTTAAGCTCCATAGGGCCACACTGAGTAGTGTAGTGGGAGACCATATGCGAAATTGTGGTGCTGCAATCTTTTTTGTTCTTGAAAGTTCTTCCAAGGTTTTTTCTTGAAGGATTGCTCAAGTATTTCAGCGGCAAGAAATGTGTTTTCGTATTACTGGAGTTTTGTTCCTGTAGTATGATCCTTTAGTCAGGCGGCCTTCGAAAAAAGCTTCATTTTCCGAATTTCTGCGATAGCTACAAAAGCTAGGCTTGAGTCAAATTCAACTCCTGTTTGTGCCGAACTTGTTGTGAATTTCAGGTTTTTCTTTTTTTGAAATGCTCTTATTGTTGGTAGGTTTCCTGTCTTTGTAAAGCATCTCGTGTCCCAAGCTAAAGTGTCTGTATC